TGATGATTAAAAATAACATGGACGACTATGGATTTGTGTAACGATGTGATGATGACAATTTTGTACTGCCTTATCAAATAAGGATGTACGGTACATACACGTTTTAAGTAGTACAAACAATTTTTAGGTTTAATGCAGGCTCTTTCAAATACAAATTGTGGTGTATGACGTTGAAATTTAGAAATTGCTGGAAGTGAAACTGAATAAAAAAATGTCACCGATGATGATGATGATGATGATGGTGATGATGAAGTTGACGATGATGGTGGGGGTGATGATGATGATGACGTTGGTGATGATGATGACGACGATGGTGATGATGAGATAAAAATATAGCCGCCCACGATTATGAGAACAAAATTTACAAACTTGATAAAGATGATAATGATGCATGCTGATGATGATGATGACGACGATGATGATGATGATTGATGATGATGACGATGATGATGACGATGATGATGATACTGACGATGACGAAGGCGATGACGATGTTGAATATGAAGGATGCTAGTGAACTGAAGCTAAAAATAATGTTTCTGCCGGTCAAGAAATTGATACTCTGAAGCGATCACGTTGTTGTTGTTGTTGATGACGACGATGATGATGATGATGATGATGATGTAATGATAGTGGTTATGATGATAATGTGATGATGATGATGTAATGATGGTGATGAGGATGATGAGGATATGATGGTTTTGATGATAATGGTGATGTTGATTCTGTGAAAATATTTGCTGCTCTGTTTTCTTAAAGATGATTGCAATGAAGGTGTGGTGACGAGGTTAGGTCAAAAAGTTCAGTTCACGGGTTAGGGTTCAGTCACATTCAAAACTTCCAAACTGGATTACAGCAACAATGTTTTTTTCTACGTAGTTTCCAACAGCAGAGTAATGACTCGTTTGCAGTCAAACCAGGATCAAGTTGTTAGGATCGTCTCAGGAGGATGGAAGTTTGATGATGTTAGTCATCGTCAACCAGGCCGTCAGTGGCTCACAACCAAAAAAGGAATTATTTTCAAAATTGCCATCCTGATATTTAGACGTTTGAACGTTTCAAATCAAGTTATTCATCCAAAGAAGTAACAACGTAAACTTAATCATGTTCAACATCCTCAGATGCGCTCGTGTGGCCAGGATTCTTTGATGGTAGTACCAGAGACACATTTGGTTGCAGGAAGCAGAAACTTTGTCGTATCCGGTCTAACATTCTGAAACAACTCGCCATAACCACACAGACTGGGTAAACCGGGTCACCTCAAAAAAATCGAAAGCAGCTTAAAACTCATCTTCTTTCAGACTAATCCACACGACTCAAAAATCAACTCTGAGTGACATTAATGGGCGCCCTATCAGTTCTACAATAACAATAACGATGATGATAAAACTAATGATAACAATGATAATGAAGATGATGATGTGCTTTTGATAATGACAAAATCATATCAATAAATACTTTATAATGATGATTGGTTTGCCTTCAAGTCTGTGATTGTAATAATGATGAAGATGATGAAGGTTGTAATGGAACTAAGGAATTATTCTATTAGAAGTCAGAAAGTTTTGATATTATTTGTGGGGGAGATAGATTTGATCAACGGAATTTGAAGTTCTCTAGATGTCACAACAAAACAACCAGGTTCAAATGCAAGTTAAGATAACAGCAAAACCTCCCGATAAAACCTGAAATATTATTGCTGTTGAGTCGCCACACGTACATTTCATTCATTTTTTTATTTTATACTTCAATTAAAAACCAATCAAAAATAAATAAGTGTCTTATTTCGACAGTTTTATTTTTGATCAAAAAACAAAGTAATTGAAGGAAAAAAATGTAATCTTAGCAGCTATGAATGCTATTAAGTTCTACGTTGCCTTAAATAGAGTAAAAAGTTAATAGTTTTATGTTTCACGTAGTGTGGCCAAACAAAATTTTTTTAATAAATTAAAATCAGTAAAATAAAACAACTATATACCAAAAAAAGAAATGGACAAAAACACAGTGGTTCTTAACAAGTGGTTGACCACCTGAAGTAAATAGTTAATAGCATTTACATTGCAAAGCCTGGCATGCAAATGTCAGGCTTGCGGGTATATAATAATTCGTTTCTCTCATGTTTATAGCTTGTGCCCATTCGTCGTGAAGGCCTTCATTCTTCAAATTTTATTGTTTCCACTGTTTTAAGTTTCATAATTATTTACTGGATGCTAGATTTGCGTATGTTGACGTAACTCTTTGTCATTCCTACTCTGCTTGTTTGTTGTTGTTGTTGTTTGTATTGTTTGTAATGTTTCTGCTGTTGTTGTTGTTTGTGTTTTCATTTTGACGTTGTTGTTGTTGTGTTATTGTTGTTGATGTTCTTTGACGTTGTTGTTTTGTTTTAATGTCGTTGTATTTGAATGTTGCCATCACTCATGTATGTGTAATGGATGCTTTCTTCAGTTTTGCTCAATGTTTATATTTTAAGAAGTTCATTCACTCATTTGATGTGTTCCACATGTTTCGAACAATTGTTGATGTTTCGAGGTTAATGTTGGATGATTCTGTTGATGGACATAATATTTCATTCATTTCACACACGATTTTTTTGTTTGATCATTATTTCTGCAACGTTCTATCAATATTTTGTTGACAGATAAACACATGTGTGTTGGACAGTATAGTAAACTTTTTTTAAATTTAAACTCGCAAACAATTAATGAAAATTAAAAACTTACATTGAGTTAAAACAAGAAAAATGCTTCTAAAGCTTTCCATAGCTATTTACATTGCAGAGAATACGTCAACGTCACGTCACGTGATCAATTAAATTTCAAACAATTGGAAATGGTACGGATTGAAAATTAATTAATTATTCTATTGTTCTGCTGCATATGAATGGAAAGACGTTTGAGAAAATTGGAGAAGTGATATCTTACTGTTTACCTCTTTATCTATATTTGTATCTATCCGTATATCCATCTATCTTTCGATGTTATTATCTATCTCTCTACATACCCTTCTAATCAGATATGTATCTTTCCATAATTACGTCTATATACATATTCATCTATTTATATGTCTATCCATCTATTTATATATCTATCCATCTATTTATATATCTATCCATCTATTTATATATCTATCCATCTATTTATATATCTACCCATCTATTTATATATCTACCCATCTATTTATATATCTATCCATCTATTTATATCTCTATCGATCTATTTATAGATTTATCCATCTATCTATCTATCTATCCATATATCCACATGTTGATATATCCATCTACCCATATATTCATCTCTTTACATAATGCGTCTGCCCATATATGCATCTATTCTTTTATGTTTCAATCCACGCACTTTCACTAATGTAACCGAGTTTAAATAGTAATGAGAAAAGTTGACGACAATGGTGCAGTTGATGATGGTTGCGAAAATGATGACGGCGATAATGACAACTATGATGATGATGATGATGGTGGTGATGATGATGATGGTGGTGGTGATGATGATGGTGGTGGTGATGATGATGGTGGTGGTGATGATGATGATGATGATGATAACGATGATGATGATGATGATGGTGGTGGTGATGATGATGATGATGATGATAACGATGATGATGATGATGATGGTGGTGGTGATGATGATGATGATGATGATAACGATGATGATGATGATGATGATGAAACCGCGTGCTTATGAAGGTTTCATTGAGTTTGGAGACCTTTGAAAACGTCGTTCGTGTTTCCATTTTTAAAGTTGGAAAATTTTCCTTTCATTTTCTATTATTATTACCCTTCATTCTTCATGTTTCTCTAATGCAACAACATTTTCCGTTAAATTATGAAAAAAATTTTATGGAGTTTTAATACGTGTGTGTGTGCGTGTGTGTGTGTGTGTGTGTGCGTGCGTGTGCCAGTGTGTGTGCGTGATAGATGTTTGTTGTAAATTAGATTTCATGCATAATTGATTAGGTAATTCTTAGAATTTTTTGAAAAAAATCTCTGAAGCGCATAAAGAAACGCTGATGTGTCTTTGTAATTAGCGTTAGTAAGGAAGAAAGTCATATATACATTAAAAAGACATCAGATGAAATGTCATGCACCTACTTAGCAGAACACCAGCACAAAAGTTATTATTAAATACATAAGTCATTAAACAGTAATCGGTGCGAATATTTCTCAGTCGAACTATTAATGTTAATTTATCTCGTTGGTTTCTATTTAAACAAATTATCAAAAAATTAATTAAACTTAAATTAATTGAGAATACGATAAATTGATATTTATAATGAATTATTATCTTAGTTAATAACCCATAAGGTGGTCAGCAATACATGAAACATACAATGTTATCAATAAATGAAACATACAAATAGATCTTCCGTGTTTTTTGCCAAATAAACTATTATTTCAATATTGAAATTATTGAAATTTAAGTGAGTAAGCAAGTTTTAAAGTAAAAAATGTCAAAGTGTGGTTTTGAGATTTAGCAAAAATAGTTAAAAATTTGATGTACGATAGACCGGAAACTCCATAAAATAACATTTTAAAGAGTCAACATTTAATAATTAATCAGGATTTATTAGTTTTAAACATACACAAACTTGCACATATACAAACGTAAATACATACAACAACATAAAAACATACATACATGCACACATACATAAATGCATACAAATAATATACATAAATACATATATACCCACACACCTCACACACACAAACGCACACGCAAACACACACACACACACACATACATACATACATACATACATACAACGATTTCCAGCTGTGGGTGGTTGAGATCGTGGCCCAACACCTCTGTGGGCACCAGGCTTGACGACGAGTCTGTGAAATTCGCCATTGGCTTCAGACTTGGCCTGGTCATTCAAAATAAATACACGTGCCGATGTGGCGCTGGGGTGGACGAGTTTGGGCACCACGGTTTGGTTTGTCGCCTGGGTGGGGGCCGTCAACTACGTCACTCAGCATTAAACGACTACATTTGTCGGCTCTTCTCCAAGGCTTCAATCCCAGTTCTCAAGGAACCATCCGGCATTTCTGCGCGTGATTGTAGGCGCCCGGACGGATGCACACTAATACCTTGGAGAGCCGGTAGATGTTTGGCGTGGGATGTTACGGTCCCTGGCACCCTTGCCGAACGATATGTAAACCTGACAAGTAAAGAATGCCGTTTGGCCGCAGCCAGAGCAGCGGACGAGAAAATGAAAAAATATGGGAACGCCCTCCCCTCGGTGGAATTCTTGCCAATATGTATCGAGGTTCTCGGCCCGATGGACCCCAACACCCTTAAATTTCTTAAGGCAATATGTAAAATGATCAGCGTCAGATCAGGCGACAGCAGGGAACTGTTTTTCGCAACTAACCACATTTCGTGCTTGTTGCAGCGGTTCCTGCGTGTCTGTGTGCTTGAAAATATCCAACTGAATGCCGACATGTGCAATTAACGACAAATCAAAGTGTTAATCCATTTGTTACTTGATGTTTGACGGTTCAGTGTCACTCATCATGTCTTGGTTTTAACATACATACGTACATACATATATACATACATACATGCATACATACATTCATACATACATACATACATACATACATACATACATACATACATACATACATACATACATACATACATACATACATACATACAAAAATACATACAAACAAACATACATACATACATGCAAAGTCCATGCATCGATCGAGGATGAATTTCTATTGATCAACACCTACATCATGACGATGACCTGGTCACGTTAAGGTTGTGGTCATTAGTTGCATCCCTTCTTGCCGTCATGATGATGATGACGTGTTGATTATAGTAGTCGTAGTCTCGGTGAGGATGAGAGTGATAATGATGAGAGAGATGTAGAATATGATGATGATGATAATAAGGATGATAGTGGTGGTGGTAATAATGATGATGATGGTGGTGCTGATGATGATGATGTTAATATGATGATGATGAGGTAGATATAATGATGATGTTGATGATGATTGTGATGATTATGGTTATGATGATAGTAATGATGGCGATGACGATTATGATAATCACGATGATGAAGCAGATGACGATGAAAAGAACTATAAAATTAATATATGAAAAATAGTAATAAAGATAGTAATTACTCTTTTATAGTATATGCCAAAAGTATTGTGATGCATAACATCTAGATATTAATAATACTCATGCATGTTAAACACATTAACATATTTTCCAATTTAAAAATGTTATGAATGTGTAACAGCCAAGGTAGTTTCAAAAAATTTTGATATGGAGTATCACATTTTTATAAGGTGGAAGTGGAAGTACGTTAAACAGTGAAACACAATAGTTGGCAGTGTTATTAGAAACGTGAGTGATGTAAGCGGCCTGTAACGATGTTTTAATGCTAATGAAAATCATCCACACAACATAGAGGTCAGAGATTCGCAAGTAGAAACATTTTCTTGCAATCATCACAGCAACAACTACAACAAAAATTTTAACAACAACTGCAATTACAACAACAACCGCAAAAACAACAACAATAACAATAACTGCAACTGCAACAACAACCTCAGCAATAACTGCAACAACAACAACTGCAACAGTAACCTCGATGAAAATGTTTCTAGGTAACAAACAACTTCATAGCAACAACTGCAACAAAATGTTTAATTTTTGTATAAACCTCACCTACACACGTTTTCACTCTTGTAACTGTTACTAACTTTGCTGGTTCGCATGAAATATTTTCAATTTTTTGGTTTGATCGAAAGATCAGATGTTTGTTGAAAAGGCGATTTTGAAGGGTTTTTGCTCATAGAAGTGTAGAGGCGATAAATATCTTTCATGTAATGGTAAATATTACAACAAAATAAAAGTTTCAGAAGAGTGATTTAAGTTTTTAACAAACTTATCACATAAATATGAAAATTTATTTAAAAAATTTATTTATAAAAAAAAATTTATTCTCAGTTCTACAAAAGTTGCATACAGAAATATCAAAATGGAGTGTTTTTGCGGCTTATGTTATTGCTGAAGATGAATTTATTCACAAAGTAGGAAGGATTAAGCTGCTCCCCTCATCTATATTTCAGTCACTCTGCTCTGCTTGCATCGCCTTTATATAAACTAGCCCCCTGCTGTTACAAAGACAGTGAGGAAATGACATTAACATGCTGTGCCGCTGAAACGTTTCTAAAACATCCGTGAAAATAAAAAATAACATTGGATAATTTTTTTTGATTAATTAAATAATGAATTAAAAAATGAATATGTAAAAATCTTGACATTAATATCTGCACCACCCAACAAAGCAAAACAGCCAGTGAGTGGCAGGCATCAAGTTGAGCAGCGCTATGTACACTCCCGTCAACATTTTAAACAAAATTGTCACAATCAATAATCATGACAAAACAACAACAACAACCACACACCAGCACATTAATAGCACAGCAAAAACAACAACACGTTTACAACAAGTTTACAACAACAACAACACGTTTACAACAACAACAACAGCACCTTTACAACAACAACAAGTTTACAACAACAACACGTTTACAACAACAACACATTTACAACAACAACAACGCGTTTACAACAACAACAACAACAACAGTAGAAACATCAATTTTATGATGGACAGCCATATTTCTTGCAAATCAACATCAAATACTCCTATCGACAATATGAAAAGCAAACGAAATTTAATTAAACAAAACATCAGAACAAGAGAACAACCAGGCACACAACGTCATAATCCAAAAAATTGTTTTCATTTTTATTGAAAGATTTATTGAGAGATTGTTAATTTTCTTCAAATTATTGGTACTAAAACACAACAATGATATGACACCACATTAGATATACATGATTTACGTGATATACAAGATATAAGTGATGTACAAGATTTACAAGATATACATATAGATACTACATAAAAATTATTGATACTTTATTGATTAATAATTATTGTTAATTATGGATTACTGAACATACAGATAAAGATGAATATATAGATATACCAGATATACCACATGATATTTACTTAAAAATTATTTTTGTATTTAATTAGAAGTTACTATATTACATTGGAATACCAGAACTTACGGATATACAAAATAAACACAATATACGTGGTATACAAGATAAACACGATATACGTGGTATACAAGATATACAAGATATACATATAGATATTACGTAATAATTATTTTTGTTATTTATTAAAAGTTACTTTAAACGATTGTATCTGAAACAATGGAGGCCAACAATACAAAAAAACATAGAGAGAGAAAATGTAAGAAGAAAATATTCGGTGGTGGAAATGTAGTCGATTGATTGATGGATGGATGGATGGATGGATGGATGTTGCTGCAGTTGATGTATGAATGCTTCTGTTCATTTCAAGCATGGAGACATGTCCTCTTCTTTATTACCTACTGCATGCCTTATTCCTCTTTCCTCATCTTCTCTCCCTTTCTCTTCCTCTCTTTCTCTCTCTCTCTCTCTCTCTCTCTCTCTCTCTCTCTTTCTCTTTCCTCCATCATACGTCTCTTCCTGTCTCTCAATAATTGCTTGTCAGGTTTTCAAATGAATAATCTTTAACAGAAAAGTCAGGTTTTTTTTAAATTTAAAATTTTTTTCATGTTTTTATGAAAATTTTTTACATAATAATAAACTAGGAACTTTGATAACCTTGCAATTTAATACATTCCCAGCTATCTAAGCTGATTTTGAGCTGTTTGTTAACTTTACATATGAAACCTTTCAATTGTGTTTATATTTCCGTTACGGAGTCCTTACTCAGTTTCGGTTGCAATTAAGATAAAGCAGTTAATTAGAAGTTACTCAATTTCGACTGATGCACCTTGTCTGACACAACCGAGAACCCACGTCATGGTGTTTCACTTATATCTTTATTTCCAATGAGTTTTTCATTGGAAAAAATTGTAAATGCAATTAAGTTGGAAATCTCAAAAAGCAGAAGTAACAAGTGGATTAAAGTTAACATTTAATTGAAAATCTTTACATTGCATATTTCATCTCAAGAAATTCTTTTTCATGGAAACGAAAACTTGAAAAATTAACCCTCATTCAGAAAAAACTTTAAAGGATGAACTTAAATTAATTTGAAAAAAAATAATTTTAAAAATTGATATCAGGACAGTTCAACTGCAAAAAATACAAAAAATACAATACAATAAAATAAAATACAAAAACAAAATGTATAAATACAAAAAAAAATGTATAAATACAAAAACAAAATGTATAAACACAAAAACAAAATGTATAAACACAAAAACAAAATGTATAAACACAAAAACAAAATGTATAAATACAAAAACGTAATAACCATTCAAGACCATATCGATAATAATTATAGTCAAAAACAATAATAACAAAGATAATAATAAATATTAATCTAAAAAAAAATAATAATTAATATTATTCTAGAAACAAATTAATTCCAATATTGTCACCAATGTTTAAAATATAAAATGAAATTAAAAATTATTTAAAGAAATAAAATTCCATCATAAATGATAACAAACTAACTTAATCGAATTTATTTTATAAAAAAACATTACCATTGTTGACAGAAGCAAAGTTATTAAAAAAACTCTAACAACAATATCCACTAATTATCAAAAAGTTTGCACTGAAAAAATGTGAGGATGTAATTTGATTTGAAGGATGCAAACTTAGCATCGGCTGCAGAACACACTTCCATTCTAAATCCTCTTTCATTCTCGCCTCCACATCGTCATCAACATCCTCATCATCATCCTCATCATCATCTCCATCATCAACCTCATCACAAACATCCCGATATACATCTCTCTCCGTCTCTCCATCATCATCATCACCATCATTATCGTCATCGTCTTTTTTATGATGATCATCATCACCATCATTATCATTATCATCATCTCCATCACCATCATTATCATCATCATTCATCCGTTCCCCGACAACACAACAAATGTGCCACCGACACGTAACTCTTCCACCCTGCCTTACATATCACTCTGTAATAATATAATCACACACACGCACACACGAACACACGCACACACGAACGAACACACACAAAAACATGTACACGTTTTTGTAATATGTTTATACATACAATATATATATAATATGTTTGTTTATCTATTTTTATTTATTTACATTTGAATGTGAATAGTCACATATCTACATACACACCCACACTCAAACATGCATACACGAGCACATTCACACAAACAAACACACAGATGGAACATATGTTTGTGTGTTTGTTCATTTATTTGTTTGTTAATATAATATAAAATGAATGAACAGAAAAAAAGAGTGATTATTGTGATAGAAGCCGGTAAAAGAGATAACACAGGCTTGTCAAAATCTATCCATACATCCAATGGTCTGTATCCAGGTGACTTTAAAACATACAAGTATTGGAATTATAAACACATTTTGTTCAAAGTGCTTTTAGAAATACATTTTTTTTGCTGAATTTATTTAAATTTTCAAAACTTTCTCATAATTTTCCAAAAGCGCTTCATTAAATATTTATGAGATAATTAAAATTTCACACAGCACCACGATATATTAATACAACTACCCTGAACATTCAATAAACACCGTGTATCAGATTATGATGATCATTTTTCAAACATCCCAATCCCTCCACCCTCATTAATATTTTCCATTCTAAATGTTATAGAGTTATTCAAATTTGTTTTTATAGTTAGAGAGTTTCTTTAAAAGTTGAATAATTTTAGAATTTAAGTTATTTTAAACAAAATAGTTTTACGGAACCT